ATGTGCCTCTGTTTTCTGTAAAGTGTACTGGAACCAGACAGCTGGGTTTCAGCATATCAGAAGCATCACTACATGACTAGACGCATGGACAAATTGTAGTCAAGTCTCTACTGCAGCTCCAGAGAAAAGGGGGTCTGTGACCCTGGCTGTGGAAAGAGAAGGCTAGGTCAACAGTGTTAATGGTTTTTAATCCTACCACAACTACTCTAACAAGAAATATTTTATACTGTCTGCAATAATCACTTTGAACAACAAAAAATGACACTGTACAGCTGCTGTTTTTATTAAGTTTTAAATGCGTGTTTTAATGAGCCTTGTCGAAGGAGAATTTCTGTCACTGCTTGGGGACGGACAAAGTTGTCTATCTATCTAGACAGCATTTATACAGAAGTTCTGCTTCTAAATTATCTCTTTATTCATACCTCAGCTCATCAAACATGCTGCAGATTGGAACATATATAGGACCCTCCTTTCTTCACTACCTGCCAGTCAGTTTTACAGTTTAAGATTTCATAATGAAGCTCCTCAATACATTAAAGACCCTTTTCTGAACTGCAGCAGCTTGAAATCTTCAGTCAGGAGTCTCCTGTGAATTTTTTGGTCCGAGCCCCTTAGCTTTGGACACTTTATATAAAACTGGCTTATTTGAAGTTTAGTTTAAAGGGGCATTAGGGAGTTTTCAGCGGCCATTAGTGGTGCGGTTTTAAGATTGCAACCATGTGTGTGCTCGTACGTGTGCTTGCTTGAACTCATGAGCGAGCATAATCCGAAACACAATCACTTTGATACAGAATTCCCACAATAAACGCAGAAACAATAGCACGCAGGCTGCAGCTTTTCTCCAGACAACGTTCAGGTTATGTTACTTAAACTTTCCCAGCTCAGATCGCAAATCAACACACAGCTACATATATTGGATGATAACGAAATGGTTAGTAAACTGGACTGAATATTATAACGAGATTGTGTCACACTTTATAACAGTTAGACCGCAGCAAGTAACTTTACTGCAATGTTAGTGGATGGGTCTGTGTTGTTGGCAGTTTTGTTGCTGTGTTGTATATTATGTGGGTCACATTAGTTACAGCGACTGAGAGATGGAGAAGTTGTGTACCTGAGTATCGGTAAAACCACAATAAATTTATGTTGAACGTTATGTAGCGTTAGCTGGCTGCCTTGCATCACTAACGTTAGACTGTAAACAAATCGTTCCATATTTGCTTTTTACTGTTACATCCTTTCCTGCATGGCTAAATCAACATTTTTTTATCCTTACCTGGAGTCTGTGTTTTGCTGAGAGTATGTTTTATGGCGTTAGTGGACTGCATGTTGTTAGCTGCTGTGTTGTTGCTGTTGTCTGAGAGGCTCGGGATCGCTGGGCTGAATCCGACCCGGAGACTACACATTAAAAGCAGTGGCTGTGGCTGATGCAAGCAACAGAGAAAACAGGTGTGTGCTTAATTTGTAAGTGAGGTCTGAGCTCATTGACAATAAGGCAATGAAAATTTGATTTATTAATAAGTAATTTCAACGTAAAACTACATACAGCCCCTTTAAATCAGGTAAAGTTTTTCAATTGGTCCATTTCAATTCTGCTGTGTGTTACTTAATTATATGTTCTACACGGTGTGCACAATTATTAGGCAATTGAGTATTTTGGCCATTTCATAATTTTTATTCAACTCTGTATAAAGTTGAATGTTTATTGGATTTAATCATATCCAGGGTTTTTCTTGCATAGATACAGTTTTTAACCCCCAAAGAGGTTTTAGCAAGCGCCAAATGATCAGAATTGAAGGAAAAAACCTTCAACCTTCAAAACCTTTCAAATCCTCTCTGAATGTGTTTTAAAAGCCATTTATCAAACAACTGTTGAGCAAGCAGAACATAAACTTAAATACTTGACTTTCAGCCGTCACCTCTCATCCACAGCCACTGTATTTTGCACATGCACCTGGCACTGGATTAATAAACCAGCTGCTGCATTGGTTTGACCGTGCCTGAACGCTCCGTTACCAAGCTCGCGCTAATGACTTCCTGTTATTTCTCACAAGATAAAAACCGTTTGTGCTTGAAGTGTGTTGGTATTCACCGGTACTGTCACTTTCACATTTTACTCTTTGGCGTAGTGGCACCGGACTCTCCTCTGCCCTCTCTAAATCAGGTTCTCTGGGCCCTACGCTATGCTCACCTGTTCCCGTTCCCGGCTGACTGCTAATCTCCGCAGGGAGTCACTTTTAATTAACCAACCAATCACTGGAGGAGGCGGGACATTAAAAAAATTCATTCACGATTCACAATTCATTCAAAATTTGAGGCACTACAGCAAACTTTAGAAATGTTAAACTTGTCGTTCTATATGCACAGTTTTTATTTCTGACAAGTTAATTTGCATAAACAAATCAGAGACTGACCATGTAGAGCATTTTTCTTGCACAATAATTTAGTGACTGAAAACAACCCACAGAAACTGCTGTTTTGTCCAACTGGAATTAATATTATAGGCTACTAATGGTAAGCTATAGTGGCCTGTTCTATTATCTGAAATTATAATGAATACACAAAGATTAGCACTAATCAAACCTTAACCACAGTGGTGAAGGCTAATATCAGAAAATGTTTTGTGACACAGCAACATTCTCTACTAATAAACTATCTGTAGGTAGACTATCTAAATAAAGTGTAACATGTAAATATATTATTATACTAACATTATACTTACTTTTTAATATTATATTTTGTTTATAAAATAGTCAGAAATAACAGGAAAATTGTAGCGTGGCTAAATTTAGTTATGAATTTTAATAAATTTATGAGAATTAATACCCAATTATGAATTTTAATATTCATAAAATCAAAAAATTATTCCTCGTTTCAGGGCACCACCGGAGTTGTTATAATCCTAGAGTCTCCTGACCTCTAGGTAGCTTTAAATAATTATACAATTATTACAAGTGATCAGTTAGTTTAATAATCGCTAAATTATCTTAAATCAATCAGTCAGTCTCATATCTAAAGGGTCAATTCTCTTGGCAGGGACGAGGAAATAGGCAACACACACAGTTTCCTGATTACAGTGAATTTATTAATAACTAAACTTAACTAAAGCGATATAACAGGTGGTTAAATACAGGGAAAATAAACAATGGCTGAACAATGAGCAATGGAGGTTCGATTGTGGGAAGCATTTGACTCATACGGCAGAGGAGAACTAATGAAAGTAAGCTATGAGTTTAGGAGTTAAAAGGAAATATTAACATTAAGGGAAATCTCTGACCACAGAATGTTTGTTAGGTCTTACGGCTTGTCGACGGCCTGCTTTGGCCTGTTGCATGGGTCCCGCGCTAGCTGCCCGATCCTGGCTTTTTGCTAGGGATTCTCCGGGGTTCTCAGTGTCTGGCAATTCGGCTGTTTTCAGATTTCCTTCGTTGTAGCTGGCGAGACCACGTGGCTTGGTCTGACCTCGGTGAAGTTGGCTCGACGAAAAAGCTTAAAATGGAACTTCGTCGTTCCTGAATTAGTCCAGTGTAACTTAACGGACTGATAACTTTAACAAAACAAAGAAAGAAAATAAAACAAACTGAAGGCAGATCGATGTCGCGGCACTTCGCGTGTGTAGCTTCAAGCGAACAAAGGCCTGTTGCGCTGGCCGAACTCTTAGGGCGTTGCCTGGCGAGGCACACCGGACACATGCCGAAGCGTCCAGAGAGCCGAGCGGAAGACCAGGGCACGAGGGGAGGAGAAGAGCAGAGAGAGCGAACGATGTTGCGTGTCGCTCTTTTGTTGCCTGGGGCGTGGTTCCCCAGAGGGCGTTTCAGGTTTCCCAAGGGACTGCCTTTCTAAACTTAATGTCTAAAGAAAAGAAATCTATTTGCGCGTATTATAATCAAATATTTTCCACAATCGAACCTCAATGATCAAGTTAAGCATTTGGTAACAGGAAACAATTGTCACATTATTGGTCAGGATATTTATACATTTAACGGCATTTCCGATGATGGTATGTAATACTTATTTCGTCCACTTGGGGGAGCTCAGGTTACATGAGGAAAGCTTAGATTAATCCAAAACAATCTTTCCTTTGGAACTGGGGAATTTAGTTTAGCCTTAAATTCAAGCTGGATAATTACTAGAGTATAGTATGACATTTCTTTATCATCATTTCTAAAGGAATTTTGTGAGAAAGTATTGTGAACAAGTATTGATTACACATTAGATGAAGGAGTGTCTTGTTGAAAATAAAAACACTGCAAAAGTAATTTATTTAGATTCTTTTCCGCACTAATATCAGCAACAGATAGCAACAACATGGTAACACAAATAGAGGCAAACGTAATCAAGTAACTAAAAGATTTAAACTTAATTAAATGCTTTGAGTTTTTGGAGACTCCAGTCTTTGGTTATTTAAAGTTCGGCTTCATGGGTTATATGTCACAAGTGGGTGAGACAAGGATCTAACCCTTTGATGGGGTAATGAAACACAGAGCAAGGTCAGTTGCCATGGTTACATATGTGGGGGGGGGGGGGGGGGGCAGTTTTGATACGCTGTTCACGGAAATGCTAATCTCTGGTTAGTGTCCCTTTTGTCAGTTTAACAGTCAGGCACCGCGTTATCAGCTTCGTAGATCAAAAAGGTGCCAGTTTTATGGTCAGGGATAACACTTAGAAAGTCTGTAGAAAGTTGATCTTTAACCCCCCTGCTCCTCTCTGGGAGAGGAAAAGAGGAAATTGGAGTAGCTCCAAATTTATTTAATATAAAATGTACAAATCCACACTGTTGTCCCACTACAAAATGCACAGATTTTGGTCATTAGGTAAGTCATTGCCTTTACTGAACGCACACTCATCATGCTTACTGTCACGCGAAGTCACCCTCCAAAGGCCCATTCTGAACCAGGAAAACCCCTGATATCAGGTGATGTGTATTTGTGCACGGGCAAGTGAGTATATACTCAGAATATTAAAAAAAAAGAAAGAACAAAAGTAACTAAAAGAACCAAAGTAACAAAGAACAGATTGCAGAGAGAAGTCGCCAAAAAAATAAGTCAATATTTTTTTTTGTCTTAAAGCTGCACAAGAGAGGAACTCACTCACACCACATTAGGATTTAAGTAACAGAATGATTTCTCTAACAATCTTGCTCTCGCTCTCTTCTGTTTCACCTCGTTAAACTCCAACCTGTCAGCTAAGAAGAAACTACTCCTGGGACAGAAAAAACCTGACAGAACATTTAAGTTCAGTATGGTTAACGTGTCGATTAATTGAGAAAAAAGGTCTGCTCGAAACAAACTAGTTTGTACGTTGTGTTGTCCCGACCATGTCTGAAAGCAAAGTGTTGTTTTGTTGATCAGAGCGGCCACGCTCACAGGAGTGAAAAGTCTGCTGTAAGTCAAGTTTCCATCCAAATGGGGCGCAAATTTTAACTGAATATTCAGAAAATCAGCAAAAGACAATGCAAATTAGTGTATTTCCATCCAATACTGTTGTGTGAATATTAGGAGTTAAGGTAATCATACAGTTTCCCCAGAAGATTTATTCTTTCCCTTTGTTGGTGAACCTGCAGGAAGGAAAACAAAGTTATACTGAAGAAAATCCCTCCTGCCTTGATCCTACCCTCATGTAAATCCCAACAGAATTTTTAATGCCTGAGATAAAACAACTTTCAAGACTCTAAACATGACATACGTGTAAACAATTTGTTGTGTGTTCATCGTAAAAATGTTGACAGTGCATTATTTAAACTTACCATTACCATTTTTTTGCTTTTGATGCCGCCTGTAAAGCAGAATTCCACCAATACTAATTATAGTAAAGAAAAATGTACCAACAACAGCAACAACCAATCCAGTGGCGGACTCTTTGGGGGACCCTGAAACAGATGATAAAAAGTGAATGTAACAGTCAGAACGCAGCTGCACATCATAAACAGCAGGTTGAACATCACAGCCGACACAAAGAACATCTAAAGGTGTGCACGCTCCTGAAATCTAGAAGCTAAAACTGTCAGCAGATCCAAACAGCACTGGGATGAGTCTCAGCAGGAACAGTGATGTTAGCATTGATCTTATGGCCAGTCGCCTCCTGCTGGGCTCCACAGCTAAGAGGTTGGTTCTGGTTCTGGTCTCAGTAGTGAGGAGGGTAATGTCGTAGCATCGTCCACTTTCTGAGACGTGCTGCTCATCAGTAGGAAGAAGGTTTGAATCTCTGTCCTGCCGCCTCTACTTCAGCCTGTTTACATGTGACTGTTGCTAACAGTCCACATATGGATTTTATCACAGCTGCTGTTACAGTGAGTATTGATTCAGTAAAGAGTCTGAGTACTTCTTCCAGCACTGACTGCCAATGTCCAGATTTAAATCATGATGTGCTTCTTGGTGGAGGGTCGGCTCTACAGTTATTAGTTCTGCTTGTAGTCAAACCTACTGCAGAGAATAAATTGTAAAGAAGCTACATTCAAACATGTTTGTCATCTGAAACCTTCACTGCGACGGGTCCAAGTTCACACTGTCCAGTAAAAACTGCACTTCCAAAGCCTTTATCTGCCTCCATGGTGTCAAATTATTACCAGGAACTAACACAGAGTTAAATTCTGGTCCTAGTTTCAGTTCAGTTTCTAGTTAAAATATAATAATAAAATGACTAAAATCTTCTCTGAGTCTCCTTGTGTTTATTTGATTCATGTGTAACTGCAATTTGCAACAATGATCAATAAATTACTCTCTCAGCTAAGACATGTTTCAGATCCTCAGTATATTTTGGTGATACACGAGTTATTACTTCATTTGTTATCCTCTTTTTTTCTTCATGTCACAAAAATGTCACAGATTCTAATGATTTCAGTCTCTAAATCTCCCTCATGAGGTGTGTTTTTCATTTGTAAATCTGTTACTGGGTTTGTGTGTGAAGGAGAGTTAGTGTTGTATTAGTTTTAGAATAATATGAATTCAAGCAGTTCAGAGTGAGAAATATCCTTATTATAATAACTTATTTTAGCAAAATATTATTCTGTAAAACATAATTTAAAGTAATTTGCATCTTTAACATTTTAATGCACATTTAGTCAGAGAGAGTTAAAATCTGTGATGATCTTTGGTGATTCATGTTTTCATTATCACAGGTGGAGCTTGAACACTAGTGAACTTCCTCTTACACCAGCGTCGTGTCTGATAATGATCTATAACCTGTTTTACTCTGAGTAGGTCACATGTCGTGTTTTCTGTAACAAGCTGGTTTTGTCAGTTGTCTCGATCAGTTAAACTACAGTTACACATTGTAGTTAGTTTGTGGTAATATTTCTAACAACAAGCTCACCTGGATGTGAGAATTAGTTTGTGGTGTAACTCATATAAACCAACATCATTTAATAATCACATATGAACATAAATATAACCAGGCCAAGGTCAAAGGAGGGACTTGGATCAGGACTGACCTTCAGTCTGTGCAGTGAAGGATTCATGTTGACAAGAGCTGGGTATCAAAATAAGTTTTTTAATATGTAATGTAAATACCATGTGTTTTAATACTATGAGTTTCACAACACTTCTCAATGTTCATAATTTCTGTTCTTAAAATTTTCCTCTGAAACGTGTTTCTAAAATGTAAATGTAACACTGAGAATGTATAACTGCTTATCATGTACAGCACATGTAGTGTTAGTGTTTAATTATAGATGTTGATCATCAAAGAAAACGATTAATGATCTGCAGACGTCTTCATCACAATCTGCTTTGTGTTCAGTCTGAAGACGCTTAAACAGGTTTTAAAACTAATAACACATAAACAAGTACAATGATTTAAATATAAAAATACCACTAGGAATAATCTCACCATTGATCTGCACGTAGATCTCAGCATAAAGATGTCTGATCCCCTCCTGTGTGGCTACACAGCGATAGCGGTCAGTCTCGGTCACAGTAGTTTGGAGGGTGATGTCGTAGCTGCCTCCTCTTTCTGAGACCTGTGGTTCTTTAGCATCAAGAACATTTCCAGCACTGTCCTGCCACTTTACTTTAGATTCTGGGGAAGCACCAAGAACTTCACACAGCAGCAGGGCCCCATCATTTGTTTGATCGAGTATTGTGACAGACGGCTTTGAAGCTGCACCTGTGAACACAGAGTAAACTGTAGCTATAAAGAACGTTTAAGGTATTTAACATATGTTACGACCCCCTGTTGGTCTAGGGGTGTTGGGGCCATAAACATATAGGCACAACTGGTAGATCTTAACAAGGTAACTTTTATTGGTAACAGAAGAGATGTAGACAGGTAACAAAAAAACAAAAGGAGGGTGGGCGAGGGTGCTGCGAAAATAACAAGTTAAAATAAAAAGGTCCTCAAAAGGAGGCCTGTACCTATCTATCGTTTTAAACAGGGTTGATTCTTACTACAAAAGAACACAAAGAGCACAGCACCCACTCCACCTGGTGAAAACTAACACAATAGTAAACAGAACAATAAGTGAATTTCTCCACTGCACCCAATGTGGAGCTAACAAACAAAGGTATGCAAATGTTTACCTAAACACAATGTACAGCTAATAAGCAAGGAATGTGGATAGTTCCACTAAACACAAAGTACAACTAACAGGCAGGCTATGCAGTCAATACCAGCGGCACACAAGTCAACAGGCGGTGACAAGCTGCCTGGAGCAACAGGTGGACTCTCCTTATGAGCCGGAGGTAATTAACGTGGTGACGAGCCATTGGTTGAGTGGAAACAGAGGGAACCAATGGGCGGTACAGATGTCAGCACCCCAGAAACCAGGTCTTCATTCCCCAGGGACACAGCCTACTTGGTAGAGGTGAGACAGGGAAAAGGGGAAACACAAGGGTGACAGCGACAGCCGTGACACATATTATACTGTGATGTTTCTTGTTCGTCTCTTCTCTGCTTGTAAATGAGGATTAAAGTGTGTTTAACAGAAAAACACAGAGGAACAGAAAAGCACAGTATCAGCCTCAGTTGCTCCTCCCAGCATTGTTAGATAGGACATGATATTTCAAACATTTCTAACTTCTACCAAAAGTCTGGAAACTATTTACAGCTGCAAACACTGTTTCTGACTCATATCATGACAGAAGCTCAGATACAGTGAAGACGTTTGGACAAACTCAATTTTTACATTTGTTGAGCTGAAAAAATGACGTCACATGAAATCTGTTGTCTGACATTTTCTGTTACACTGAAGCAATATATACATAAAATATGAAACAGGGTATTTAAAAGCTTGTGTTATCAGGGCTTAACTGTGTCAGTGATACAAACACTCAGTGGCCACTTTATTAGGTACACCTGTACAATCTGCAGGCATCATACAATCTTACTTTTGTGTTGCATCAATGTTCAGTTGTTGTTGACAGTGTCAGAGGTGTTAAAGGGCAGAGTTAGTGGACTGCATAGCAAACATTTCAAATATGCCCAGCATAAATTACAGTAATTCAATTCAAATTAGCTTTATTGGCATGAATGTGTAACAATATAGCCAAAGCATCATACAAACTACATAAGAACAATCAACCCCATACATTTCATTAAACAAGTAATTTAAGAGTGTGTGTGTGTGTGTGTTAGAAAAATAAAAATATATTAAAAATTTTAATTAAATACAAAAAACAGTAAGCGTGTGTGTGTTAAAAATATATATTAAAAACATTAAAAAAGATAGATAATACTGTAAGTGTGTGTATATTAATAGACAACAAAAAAATTGAATGAATGAATGATGAATAATAATTACAACAACAAAAAAAGAAGTCAGTATCAAATGTAAAAACAAAACAATTACTAAAATATCAAGCAATCACAATAATAATAATTTGAAAATCTTATCAGTCTGAGTTTCCACTGGTTGTCCTCGATTCATGGCATGAGGAGACATATTTTGCAGCAATTATTTGACATTTGGGCATTTCTCCCAGTATATAGGGGAGTTTCTGTGTGTATACATATATACATATCACCACTATGTTTGTAGTAGTATACAGTACACACATATACATATATATTTCTCTGTGTAGTTTGAAATGTGGGGGGTGGAACTTCTGAGGGAGAACTGAAGGAAGGCATGTATTTGTTTGGCAAGTTTAAACAATCAGCAATCTTCCACAGAATCACTTCCTCTCCCTTTAAGATACAAATGAACAACTTCATCTGGGAAGTCCCTGTGTTCCAGGGGTGGTTTTTTGACCATTTTAACATGTCACCACAAACATGTCATATGTACAGCTTGTCAGAATGCTAAAATAGTTAAATATAATCAAAAACTACAACACATTCCCATAAAATAGAGCAGTGTGTGTGTGTGTGTGCATAAAAATCAAATCCTTCATCTTCAACTCTGAGTAGGCCTCTCCCTGGCTCAGCTTCCCCTGTGCTGGACTCTGCCTCTGCTGACTGTACAGCTATATCAATAACATCTGTAATAAATGAACAATAATACATTGTCTAATTCTATCTCTACATATGATTGCCTACTCAGCCCTGCACACTGCCCCTGTACCGGTCACTGTTTTTTCTGCTTCCATTGTCCTTCTCCTCCTCCGGCTCCTGCTGCACCTTCTGCAGCTCCTCCTTTTTCTTCTCTCACTCCTGGGGTCATCATCAACCTGTACCTCTGCATCACTCCACTGATAACAGCTCAAATACATACAGATACACAAAGATTCCTTGCTTATAGAAGGATGTACTAAATGCATTACTAATTGTGCATCTATTTCTTCTGTTGCTGGGTCCTGCCTCATCTGCATAGCAACTTCTACCAATGAATGTAAATGTAAATGCTCCGTACTTGTATAGCGCCATTCACACATTTATTCACTGCTCACTTCACACACTGGCAGAACAGCCGCCACGGGCAATTCAGGGTTCAGTATCTTGCCCAAGGATACTTCAACATGCAGCCTGGAGGAGACAGGGATTGAACCGCCGACCTTCCGATTAACGGGGCAACCCGCTCTATCTCCTGAGCCACAGCATTAGAACATTAGAAAAGTAAAAATGTATTTAGGGATATTAAATGCTTAGGTGGAATTTAGGGGTGCTTCAGCACATTTCAAATCTCTGAGGTGACTCCAGTGTTGAAGCGCCTTTGCCCTTTTCCTCGTCATAAAACTTTCTTCTCTGTTTAAACTCTTCAGACCATTTCCCCTTTGTCTGTTTCTCGGCCATCTGTCCTTCTTCACAGTGCCTGGAATCCAGTATGTTCAAATGTGTCGGTGTATAGAACTCTCTCTCACACTACCTCCCTCCTCCCATCACTCTTGAACACAAACACAAAGGCACCCGTTTCTGACTGGCTGGAACAATGTTGTGGGGAAGGTCCACACACACCTTTCTTTTTTTTTCCCTTTTAAAGAGCCAAGGCTGTGTAGGAAAACCAGATTGTACACAAAACGGAGCGCCAGCCAACAACAAAAACTGTACTGAATCACAATCACCTATTATCCCTAAACTGTTATCATGTGAATCCTCCAGAAAGTCAGCCCAAGGACGCAGCTTGCTGGTATGATTGATCTGAGAGCACTCAGAATTCAGAAATCAGAGTGAGGACAGTCCTCAACTGGCACCGATTCACCTTCAAACTCAGACAGACAAACAGATTTATATTTAGAATTTGCTTCCATCGATCTTCAACAACTAACTAACTTCAATGATTTCTTCATCTAAACCATCAACCTGCCTCTGAGAGATCTTAGAGACCACGTCCCAACTAGGCTGCTTAAAGATGTTACATTACATTAATTCATTTAGCTGACACTTTTATCCAAAGTAACTTACAATTGCTATACATGTCAGAGGTCGCACGGGGTTAACTAGGGTTAAGTGTCTTGCTCAGGGACACAGCGGTGGATGTCTCACATTGGGAATTGAACCCAGGTCTCCCACACCAAAGGCAAGCATCTTATCTATGCGCCATCACCACCCCTTATTTTACGCCCAGTCAGCACTTGTTTACTAGATATGATAAATCTGTGTTTATTATCATCATCAGGTGGCCAAAGCCCATTAAGACTCTTCAGCTGATCCAGAATGCTGCAGCTCGTGTTCTGACAGGAACCAGGGCTGCGTTACAATCCACAGTGTACATCAACAGCACTCCCTGCACAGGGAATGTCGGTTAAAGGGATACTATGCGATTCTGCAGTTTGTTGATGAACAAACCATGAACACGCACTGCCATTTATTCAACAGTTAGCAGCAACACACAGGAGCTCCTCTTTAGTCTTGAGAAGCTGCAGACTTTAAGCACCAGCTGCTGTAACTGTACATTTACTGCTGACCCGTTTCTCTCCATTCACCGGGGCTCTGTTCACACACACGCTCCGTCTATTTCTCCTCTACCGCACAAACTGTGATAAGCTAACAAAGCTAACCAGCTGGGATCATCACAAACATGACCACAGAGAGACAAGACCTGTCGTTTATGTGGAACAGCAAAGCTAACGTTAGCTTACACACCTGTCCAGCAGAAACAGAGCAACTTCAGCATCGGTTTTCATTCCTATCAAATCTCGTAGATTTATCCATTGAAACCCCTCACAGGTGTTAACACAGGTCTTCCCCTCGCCTGGTCTTATAACTTGTCTCAAAATTGTTGTCTCAGACCTTTCCCTCTGTGGCTGTTTCTGTCACCTTCACAGCTAAAATCCCATAAGAAGTCCAACATGTTCGTTTATGTTCTTATGCAGAATTGTAGTACTACATTAGGTAAATGAGACACACCTCTTGAAATTACATGTAAGTCCATATTTTATTTTATATAAATGTTTATTAATAATTTTGGGAACGAAAGGCTTTCTTTTTTTTATAGCTTCCATATGATGTCATTCATTGGCTCCAGACCTTTGCTGAAATGTAGTATTACACTAGACCAATGAAGCACATCTTTTCATCTTAGATGCAAGTACTTTTTCTTATTTCTATTTTTTGGAGAAGAGAGCTTTATTTCAATGTCATGTTGCCTAGTGACTCCAACCCTGGTACTTGAGAGACACACCTCTTCATATTAGATTTGAGTGCTTTTTCTTATGCTACTACACTCTCAGCAGTCTGGTGCTACGACAGCAGACCTTTATATCTTTTCCCAGAAGAAAGCAGGGTGAACAGGCTGTGGCTTCGTTGGTACTGTCATGGGCTCCTTGCAGACACCTCACCTCACAGACATCACTGATGCTTGGTAGATGGGTACCAATAATCTTCTGGGCGGTTTTAATAACGTTCTGTAGAACCCTCCTGTCCTGGACCTTGCACATCCTATGCCAGATGGTAAGGTTTCCAGTCAGGATGCTTTTAATTGCTCCACTTTAGAAGTTGAAGAATATGCCATGGGAATTTGGTCTTAAGCTTTGTTTAGAAAGACTATTATTACTACTATAATGTAGCCTACGTTTTATGACTGCCCTCTCCCCGTCCCTCATATGCATTTGCAATAATGAGATGAATACAAACATTGGTAATTTACCCATACCAAATGTTTGTGAGCTTGTGAGCTGACATTATGTTTTCACCTACATATCTGTTTAAAGTGTTTTAACAAATTCTTATTACACCCCTAACCGGTCGAGGCAGATGGCCGCCCACCCTGAGTCATGGTTCTGCTCGAGGTTTCTGCCTCTTAAAAGGAAGTTTTTCCTTGCCTCTGTCTCCTAGTGCTGCTCTTGGTGGGAATTGTTGGGCTTCTCTAAATAACATCATAGAGTACGGTCTAGACCTGCTCTTTTATGAAAAGCACTGTGAGATAACTGTTGTTGTGATTTGGCGCTATATAAATAAAATTGAATTGAATTATTCAGGTAAAACTTAAGGATGAGAAAGCCCAACAGACTGGATGGATGTCAAGTTGACATCATGTGCCACCCAGTTAAAAGATGGAAGCAGCTGTGGTGTGATTGTTGTTAAGGTAAACTGAGGGGGTTTTATTTTGATAATTTAATTTTTGCCTTAAAAAACTATTTCACATGGAAGCTACGGAGAAAAAAAAAAACAACTTTCCCCCCAAAATTAGACTATTAAAAAAGCCCCCCTTTCCATAAAATCTTAATAAATAATATAAAATAAAAAAGTATTCAAATCTAATATAAATGGGTGCGTCATACATACATACATACATACACACACACACCCCTAAAGGATTATTAGGAACACCATACTAATACTGTGTTTGACCCCCTTTCGCCTTCAGAACTGCCTTAATTCTACGTGGCATTGATTCAACAAGGTGCTGAAAGCATTCTTTAGAAATGTTGGCCCATATTGATGGATAGCATCTTGCAGTTGATGGAGATTTGTGGGATGCACATCCAGGGCACGAAGCTCCCGTTCCACCACATCCCAAAGATGCTCTATTGGGTTGAGATCTGGTGACTGTGGGGGCCATTTTAGTACAGTGAACTCAGTCATGTTCAAGAAACCAATTTGAAATGATTGGAGCTTTGTGACATGGTGCATTATCCTGCTGGAAGTAGCCATCAGAGGATGGGTACATGGTGGCCATAAAGGGATGGACACGGTCAGAAACAATGCTCAGGTAGGCCGTGGCATTTAAACGATGCCCAATTGGCACTAAGAGGCCTAAAGTGTGCCAAGAAAACATCCCCCACACCATTACACCACCACCAGCAGCCTGCACAGTGGTAACAAGGCATGATGGATCCATGTTCTCATTCTGTTTACGCCAAATTCTGACTCTACCATCTGAATGTCTCAACAGAAATCGAGACTCATCAGACCAGGCGACATTTTTCCAGTCTTCAACTGTCCAATTTTGGTGAGCTCTTGCAAATTGTAGCCTCTTTTTCCTATTTGTAGTGGAGATGAGTGGTACCCGGTGGGGTCTTCTGCTGTTGTAGCCCATCCGCCTCAAGGTTGTGCGTGTTGTGGCTTCACAAATGCTTTGCCGCATACCTCGGTTGTAACGAGTGGTTATTTCAGTCAAAGTTGCTCTTCTATCAGCTTGAATCAGTCGGCCCGTTCTCCTCTGACCTCTAGCATCAACAAGGCATTTTCGCCCACAGGACTGCCGCATACTGGATGTTTTTCCCTTTTCACACCATTCTTTGTAAACCCTAGAAATGGTTGTGCGTGAAAATCCCAGTAACTGAGCAGATTGTGAAATACTCAGACCGGCCCGTCTGGCACCAACAACCATGCCGCGCTCAAAATTGCTTAAATCACCTTTCTTTCCCATTCTGACATTCAGTTTGGAGTTCAGGAGATTGTCTTGACCAGGACCACACCCCTAACATTGTTAACTTATTATTTAAGCTATATTATCTTATTTTGTAATGGTCATCTTATCATTCTTCCTCTTATCTGTAGATTCATGAAGTCTCAGAGTCTCAGTATAAATATGAATATTTGACTCAGTTTTAAACTTTTGCATCCAAATTAACTGTGTGTTCACTTTGAAAACACAATATTTTTGAAAACGAACAACATCCAAAACAATTAAAATTATTTGCATATAAAAATACAACTAAGAAGAATCTCACCATTGAGAGGAACGTAGGTGTCAGTTTCAGTCCGATGTTTGATTTCCTCCTGTGTTGCTACACAGTGGAACCGGTCGGCCTTCTTCACAGTAGTTAGGAGGGTGATGTCATAGCTGCCTCCTCTTTCTGAGACCTGTGGCTCCTCAGCAGGAAGTTTGTTTCCAGCACTGTCCTGCCACTCTACTGTAGGTTTTGGAGAAGCACCAAGAACTTCACACTGCAGCAGGGCCCCGTCATTTGTTTGATTAAGTATCTTGACAGACGGCTTTGGAGACACACCTGTGAACACAGTTTACATGACAATAAGTGACACATCAGTTATAAAGGATAAAGAACAATTACAGAATTTAAAAAAATTTAACTTTTATGACTCATATCATGACAGAAGCTCAGATACAGTGAAGACATTTGGACAAACTGAATTTTTACATTTGTTGAAATGAAAAATTATCTTGAAATTACGTCACATGAAATCTGTTGTCTGCTATGTTGACAATATTTTCTGTTGCACTGAAGTAAAATAAATGTGTTATAAAATATGAAATGGGGTCTTTAAAAGTATGTGAGCCCCTTGTGTTATCAGGGATACATACTCTGATCCAACACAAAAACTAAAATTGGATGATCCCTATAATGTTCAGTTATTATTGTCAGTGTCAGAGGTGTTAATTCAAGAACATGTTTCAACACTGAGGGCAGAGTTAGTGATGGTGCTGCTCGGGACTGCTTTATAATCTGAGGTGTTCTCTAATATTCTGACAAATCATATTTACTCTAAAAGAAACAACAGTATTATCATTTATTTTTCTTTAACTTTATCACTCTGTATTTCAAAATAAAAATTACATTTTGATCAAATATTATATTTTAAACATGAAGTGTGTCCAAACATTTTGCTGAGATGGCTTTTTACTGCATTAAATAGTTTCAATAGTTTGAAACGGTTATAAAATATGAAATGTGTTTTTCAAAAGTAAACAACTGTCTTCTTCCTCTGGTTTTGGAGTATGTTTAGGGAGAGCATGGTCATTTAATTAGTTTTCAAACTGCAGGTATGCTTAATAATTTAAACATCTGAATTCCTCCTAAAATCCATAAAGACTCCACTGAGAGCGGTGATCAGCTTCTCCTGATGACAAATCTAAAGAGGAAAAAATACTAAACATTATAAAATGTTACATGCAATCAGTCAAATCCTGGATTTGAAGTTATTTCAGCTTAATGAAGCAGTTCTGCAGCAAATACTTCATGACAGTTATAATGTTTAGTTTTAGTTGAAACCGTTTTAGAGTTTATTCAACTTCATGGTAATTTTGGAGGCTGTAGTTTGTGCTGCTGATGTTGAATTGGTTTGCGTCATCCTAACAGGGGTTTCTATAATTTTGTCCACCCAATTTATATCAAGGAGGGAAGCCTAAATAACAGAAACACCTCGTAGGTTATAAACCTTTTAACTTAACTATATAAACTTCTTAGATAGTTCAAATGTGTACAAATTAAAACGTGTTGGTGTGAGTGTCTCCAGTTATCAGTGATGACATCACATCCAGGTGATGTAGAGATCAGTGACGTCATCAAAGGACTCACCTGGGATGTTTTCAGCTGATCTGTCCTTTAATCTTTTCTGGCGCGGAGGTTGCACGCGACCCAGATTTCCATGTAAACATTACTAAATAAACAAACAGCGTGTTTTCCTGTTGACGGCAGATATGAACTCAGACATGTTGTAGCTCGTTTTAAAGCTCAGAGGTTCGTTTTTTCAACGGATTTAACAAACTAACTGAAGAAGTTACGACATGACAACAGCAGCGTCTTACTTTACGGCAGTAAACAGTTAGCATCTTACCTGCTATCCTGTGTAGCTGCAGTTAAAATGGATTTATAGGTCGAAAAACAGACATTTACAGACAAACAGAGGCTCGTTTTAAAGAACAAAAGTCCACCGAGTGAATCCAGCTCGTTAAAGTTCAAGCGGAAGTAAAATAACCTGAATAAAAGTCGATTGTGTCGCTCGTTATTTTTAGCGCCGCTCGTCAAACTTCCAAAACAAAGTGATTTCTGTCAATTTAAAGTAGCGACAAAATATTTGACCAATGATGTTCAGTATCTCTGAAATCAGTAACCGCCCAGGAACAAAACGAACCAATCAGCATCTTTCTACGACCTAAAGTGACGAAGCTAACGGGCTTTTAACTCCGACAGCCAATCAGAGGAGAGCATCTTTACGTGATCACCACGTGTGTCTAATTGACCGTCACTTTCATCCAATGGTAAGTCAGCACCGTGAAAACACGGTGAGTCTGTAGCCGGAAGAATCACCTGTCTGACCATATATGGAAGTTACTGTAGTCGGACTTCCTGCGGTAGCGGGACACCGAGACAACAGAGAAACTTTATTTATATGTTCAGAGAGGAGAGATTCAATCATCATTAATATGTAAATATGTATTTATATTATAAACATATTTCTATAGTTAAATTTAACACTTAGAAACGTTTTTATAATATAACAAAGAGATTTATTATCGTTATTTGGTAAGTTTGGAGAAGTTTTAGAGAGCTCTGTAGACATCTGCTGGAGACGCTCTGTACTGCACTTTCTAAATATCTCAGAGCCACTTCAGTCTGTCAACCTAAAATCTGGTTCAGACATTAAAGACAAGTGGAGGAAGAGATCCTGTGAATTTCAGCCTGATACAACATTTTATCACTGATTTACTGTATTTGAAAGATGAAGTTAGAGGGAAAGAACAAGAGAGCTTCTATTGTTTTCTATTTAATCATTTACCAATTCAGCTCTTTCAGATCTCTAAATAGGATCAAAACACCTAATGAAACCTCAGAAGTTTTGCTTTACAGTGATGTTAAGGACAGGTATCAGCTCCTCCTGGTATTATTATTATTCAGTTTAACAGGTGCAGGAATTAAGAGACAGAAATCCACATAATTAAAATAAGCTCCAAGAGGTTAAGATACGATCTAAAAGGAAAAACAGAACAAATGTTATAGCGCCTGTGAAATATTATCAGCTTGACACAAAGGTAATGCTGCGTAAAAACATAATCAGAAATACGTCACAAACATGAAGCCTGTCTGATAGAGAGGTAATCTCTCCAGATGTGGCTGCAGCTCTGTGGGGACGAGGCCCTGCCAGATGTTTATTCTGACTACTTGACTAAAGTCCATCTGGGACTCTTAAACCAGTCACATCAGTAAATAAATCTTTAACTGTTTAATGAAAACACTCACCAACAACAAGCTCAATGAGGACTGGACTTTGCTGAAGATCTGGAAAAACACAGGTGTAGTTTCCACTGTCAGACGCCTTCGTATTTCTGATGATGATGGAGGCGTTGCCGTACTTTAGCTCATCTGGAAAATGTGAGACGCGACCTTTGAACTGCTCATCTTGACCTGAAAGGCCCTGACCATAAAAGGCTTTGTCATTGTACAAGAACACATCTTTATTTTTCTGCCCTTTCTTCTTCCAGTCAAAGAGCTCTGACTCAATGTCCTTCTTGGTGCTGAGGGAACAGGGTAAAATAGCATCACTTTCTTCTTTCACGATCACTGGACCTGGAAGATAAAAAAAAAACTAATCAGTTTGTTTACAATTAATTTAATTAAGAAGTATGCTGTTACTCATAACAAGAACGTTTCTTGTTCTTTGACCTTGTCGAGCACTTTGTCCTCCAGATATTTTCAGACATATTTATAATTTTTCATATCTTTTTTCTAAACCTTATTTCTGTCACACTAGTCTTTCAGCACAAACTCAGCATTAATAATTAATAACATTTAACTCTTTTTTTCCCAGGTGATGACGAAGATCAGCACTGACTCAGACTGTCTCTGTCTGCACACTCAGCACACTAACAAGAAGGAAGAGGAAACAAGAGAGAGCGACGAGGAAAACCCAGAACTAAAAGTCAAACTTAACTTAATTTACTTCATCATGATTTCAAAGTCTTGTAAGCAAAAAGACAAGAACAAACCTCTGAACTACCCTCAGATAGCAGGAACACAGATTTCATCATCAGCCTGCTTCTATGACCCAAATTACAGATATGATCAGTCTTCACTGGTGGACACGGGGCCCTCTGGGATAAAACATGATAAGGTGCCTTATGGTAGGAAATTAGTTGGACATAAGGGCTCAGATGAAAAAACGTGGGAGTCGGGATTAGTGTAGGTTACTACAGAGTCGACAATAAGAAAATAATAGAAACGCACAATAATGTTGACCTCACGAGTAACAGTCATCCATCACATCCACACCTGCAACACCATGTCAATCGAATAACGCCAAGCCCACATCTACTGTACAGAAAGCATCAGCGCATGTAAGTGAGCCCAGTGATAACAACAGGCCTATCCAATATCACTGCCATAAAATATGACAACAAACTAACTATTTTTCAGATCATTTTTAACAAATTATGCTTTAAATCAAAGCACAGAGAGACTGGGGAAAATTACAAATGATCTTCTGGCTGCATCAGATAAAGGACTGGCCTCTGCACTGTAAAATCCAGAATTTAAAATCCTTCTTCTTACCTACAAAGCTCTTAATGGTCAGGCACCATCTTATCTTAAAGAGCTCATAGTACCTTACTACCCACCAGAGCACTGCGCTCCAGAATGCAGGGTTACTTGTGGTTCCTAGAGTCTCCAAAAGTAGACTAGGAACCAGAGCGTTCAGCTATCAAGCTCCTCTCCTGTGGAACCAGGTTCCAGTTTGGGTTCAGGAGGCAGACACCATCTCCACATTTAAGAGTAGGCTTAAGACTTTCCTCTTTGATAAAGCTTATAGTTAGGGCTGGCTCAGGTGAGTCCTGAACCATCCCTTAGTTATGCTGCTATAGGCCTAGACTGCCGGGGGATTTCCCATGATGCACTGAGCTCCTCTCTCCTCTACTTTCTCTCCTCTGTATGCAACCTCACCATTATTGCATGTACTAACACAACTTCTCCCTTTCTGGTAGTCTTGTGCTTTCTCGTCTCCTCCTCTCCTCCTATCACTTCCTGCAGGTTTTCTGGCTCTGGAGCTGTGGAGTCTGGAGCTGTGGTTGCGGGTCACCTGCTGCTACAATGTTCCTGCACAACATCCGCTGAGTCCTATTATTATTATATTATCATTAAGATACTATAATTATCAGTACCAATTCATTTTCTGCACCAATGTCCCCCCCCCCCTCCCTCCAACCGGTCGAGGCAGATGCCGCCCACCTTGAGTCATGGTTGTGCTCGAGGTTTCTGCCAGTCTAGACGGCTCTATATGTAAAATGCAATGAGAGATTTTGATAAAATTGGCGCTATATAAATAAAACTGAATTGGACTAAAAACTAAAGGGACAAAATCAGCCATTTCAAAAAGGGACAGGTGTATATGACCAACACATTGCGTGAAAAGTGGTGGGGACATAGGGGCTCAGTTTAGGGGTGTGAAGAGACACTTAGCTCGCGAGATATCACGATCCACCAATTAGGTTCAGGAGAACGAGACGAAAAGACCCTGAACAGTGTTTAAAGATATCCTCACTGCCAAGATATATGAGGTCTGGGGGACCTCCCCCAGGAAATATTGATCATTAAACACTTCTGGTGAATTTTTCTGCACCAATTTAGTGGAAATGTTTTTATTATGTAAAAGGAAACGCAAAAATTCAGGCGGCATGTGACATTTCAAAATTATATAATATAAACAGCATCTAAGTCAGTGCAGCTCTCAGGCAGTCTGTGCTGCTTTCAGATCTGTTTCTACTGTAAATCCACTTTTCTCATGTAGCTAATATCATCCCTGCTGAGGCAACACATGTAGGCATGATTCAGTTTCCCTCCTCTTTTGTCATATTCACTAGGAGAGAACAGAAACTTGGCCAAAAAGAAACTGATCAAGAAGTTACGAGTTATGTTTGTTTTTTTTCAGCTTAAGTTGCTTTTTTGGACATGCACAACTGTTTTGTCTATATTTTAATTGCATGTTTTCTTAATGTGCAAAATAAACCTTTTTAGGGACAAATCAGCCATTTCAAAAAGTGGTGGGGACATGTCCCCAGGGTCCCCAGTGTAAATGATACCTATGTTATGATTGAGACTATGTTTTTGTTTTATTGCACTTGCATCTATTAATATAACGTTCAGCAGACAGAGAGACAATGATGTGAATATTCTGCTTGACTGCCTATCTGAATTCAGTGCAGGTGGGAACTGAATTTCTTTTCCTTGTGGTTTCTACTTTAGCTTTTTTTTAAAAAAAAAATCATATCAGCGGACCACTTGTGTTTCATAATCAGAGTAACCAGAGCAACGGTGCAACAACCAATCAGGTTTGAAGAAGAAGAGATTCTCGGAAATAAAGATTCGTCAACAACATCCGTGCTTTGCTTTCTCACCACAGGATGGAGACGCCGCCCTGCACCCCCCCCCCCCCCC